TCCCACGATGGGGCTCTACGAGAGACAGAATCTTTGACTTTGTCCAGTCCTCACCCTCCCCGACAAATGTAACCGTGCTCGTAGAGCGTCCGTGTGCTTCCCCTTCCTTTCGTCTCCATTTCTCCACGCTGGCCGCCAGCGTCATCAAACCCTGGCCGTGACGCCATCTGCACCTCCGTTGGGAAAGTGCTACTCTGCACCCATGGGGGATGTGTGTCATGGTGCCCCTTTCTCCACAGAGCCTGCAGAGAAGATCTACCCACATACTGCACTTGTACAGTGTGCTTGTACTCATACGTTGGTGACGGGATGGTGGCACCGACTGCCCGCAGCAGGAAAGAAACAGTATATGGAAGGGCTTCAGCCTTCACAATTCCATCCAGGTCAATCTTTCAGGAAGATTTCCCTTTGTCCGTGCTCCCCGCTCCACTGCTCTGGACCTTCGGCTGTCCTCCTTCCGATTCCTCACTTCTTCCTGTCCCATAATTCTCCTCACCTTTAAGCCGGCTTTTCCCCAATGCGGGAAGTGTGTTGTTCCCAGACCTTGTCTGCCAGTACAGGCAAAATTCCAGGAATACAAACAAACTTGTGAAAGTTGTAAAGTTTCAAACTTTTAATTTTACCAGAAAGAAAAATTAGCAGGCAATGTCTGCGAGTACTGAGAATTTAAGAGCGCAGTCTTTTCATAAAATGTTTTTAATCATGAAATAGAATATTGGCAACAACATCAATGCAGGAAATATTTAAAAGTTAATTACCTTGAAATGATGCCGATAAATGCAGAAAAGCCCTTCTGTATTACTCCTCTGCTGTTTTGCCTGAAATTACTCAGCTAATTAACTTTTAGCACATAAAAACACCACATTGGGCACTGCATATGGAACTATTCGAAACATGTGGGTAGAAGAATAATTTACTTGAGCATGTTACAGATGTAATAAAAATAAAGTCCTTCAGAGATTCTCAATGGAATTCTTCTTTGCAATTAAGAAGTTCATCCGTGAATAAAAAAAAAAGGATTTTCCACATTACCAATGTCACGCACTAACGTCAGAATACCTTTCACATCACTCTAAAACAGGTGGTTAAATAAAAGAGATAAAGCTGTATTCCAATATGTATTTTTAAACACAAGCCTGCCAGGACTGGAACACCATCGCTGTCACAGGGTGGCATACAAAATTATACTGAACCTGCTGCTTCAGTTGTAGGTGTGAGACAAATCCAGGAATGAAACACCCCAACCCAAGAGCACTGCCACCAGGATCACAAAATTCTGTGCTTGGATAATGATTTCATCCCTGGAAGCAAGAAAAGAGGACCCTAGTTTTACAGATACAATCACCTCAATCACCTGTATCTTTACCAAAGTGAATATTCTTACAATACCAAGGTGAATTTTCCACATTAGAAGGAGTATGTACCCAGCAGTCCTGACTACCACTACACTGAAGGACAGAAGGTATCTGCACTGAAGAATCCTCAGACAGCATTCACCGTCATGGGTTACCCAAGAAAGGAGTCTCTGAAGAATATACTGTATCGAGAACCATTACCACTGTAAAATTCCACATCCGCAACAGCATTCAGTCAGCTGATGATGTTCATGCATTGTGGTTGCCACCAAATACTACCACAACAGAGAACAAACAGATAGCAGTTTTTTATTACAAAAATGACTAAGCAGAAAAGGTCTAGCTTGCAAGACATTTAATATAAAACGTCAGAAACACCTGCTAAGTTGTTTTTTGTAACAAAGAGGAATTAATCTGCTGAATATGCAGCACTCAGAACAAACATGCCAGAAAATGAAAACCAGAAAATGTGACTGGCCTTCATATTTTACAATTGAAAATAATTGACAAAATCC